ACACACACAACACACACAACACACACAACACACACAACACACACACACACACACACACACACACACACACACACATACAGGTCTCTCTCAACATTCGCGAGGATTAGGGGATCAAGAACCTCGTGAATGCTGAAAAATCGTTAATGTTTCGTGCCCCAATGTATTGTAAGGAAATAGAATACAATATTGCCTCCTTAACTTATTGAACCATGAACAATCATAAAATACAAGAAAACATCGTAAACTATTGTACTATATAATCACATGGTTTAATAACATGTATGTTATCAAATACTACTGCCTCTGCCACTGCCTCAACCACTGTAGCGCACTGCCTCACATTTTTGTACAATTTCTTTCTTCAATTCTATCGCATTTCTCAACTTCTTTACCAAGGGGCTGGCACTAGCAAGTTTCTCTGGGCTCATGGTTAATTTTGTAGCAGTCGCACTCAGTCTGCAAGCACCAAACACAATGAATTATTCTGAAATGTTTGGAAGAGCATGGAGGCTAATGCTCACTCCAGCATAAGCAAAGCCACACTGACTCATGATGCCTCAACCACTGCTTCAACCCTGGTATTTTTGTACAATTTCCTTCTTTAACCCTTTGACTGTTTTGGTTGTATATATACATCTAACGAGCCAGTGTTTCAGACGTATATATACTCAATAATTCTAGCGGCTTCAAATCAAGCGGAAGAAAGCTGGTAGGCCCACATGTGAGAGAATGGGTGTGTGGTCAGTGTGCACCACATAAAAAAAATCCTGCAGCACACAGTGCGTAATGAGAAAAAAAAACGGATCGTTTTTTTGGATTAAAACGCCGACTTTGAGGTGTATTTTCGTATAGTATTTATCGATGTATTTGCGTTTTCATGGTCTTAGGTGATAAAATGGAAAACATATTACAGAAATAGAGATGATTTTCATTACTTTGACGATGAAAACGACCTTGAAACTGAGCTCAAAGTAGCGGAAATGTTCGATTTTTACCAATGTTCAGGAGTAAACAAATCACATCACACGTCCAATACACGTCAACTGGGGAGTCTAATATTCTTTCACTAGTGCACTGATATTATTTATACCATTTTCACAATAATGCAGTAGTCTGCATAACAGTAAATTTTGTATTTTTTGTATGAATAAAAAATCAAAATAGAAAGCAATAATAATATAAGAGGGGCCTAGAGATATGACTAATGAACAGAGCATATGTTATTTTAGTGCCAAGAATGTCTACCTTGTTTATTCTGGACCCTATTTTGAAATTGGCATCTTTTTTAGTTTGCGTGAAATTGGCCAAATTGCCAATTTCTGACCACAATATTGGGTAGTCCAAATTGGTAAATGGGAGGTTTCTTGTACTCAGCTGATAGATAAAATGGAGTTCTAAAGAAATAGCTATGAGTTTGGTCAACTGGAACAACGGAATTGGCTGAAAATAGGGTTCAAAGTCGGCGAAATCGCCGATACGCATACGTCGCCGAGACCACTAACTTCGCGGGAGCGTAATTCCATGAGTTTTCGACCAAATGTCGAACTTTTGGTGTCATTACCATCGGGAAAAGATTCTCTATCATTTCATAAGAAAAAATATATTTTTTTTTTTCAAAAATTTAGCGACATAGAATGACAGTTTCAGAAAGGGGCCTGAAACAGTCAAAGGGTTAATTCTATCATATTATTATTATTACGTATTATTATTATTATTATTGGCAATAGCGAAAATGTTTGATTCTTTGCCATGTTCAAGAGTAAATAAATGATGTCACTGTCCAATACCTGTCCGAATGGCCATTCCAATATGCAGTCATGAATGGGTTGACATTATTTATACTGTAGTTTGTGATGAATGGTTTGAAAAACCGACAAGTTGAAGATTGAGACACTTATGCAGCATATGGGAATCTTTATTCAGGAAATGTTTCGCCACACAGTGGCTTCATCAGTCCAATACTGTAGTTTAATAGCAAATAATGAACAAACAAAACACTCACCACACTGAGTGGTGGGAGGGCTGGCTGCCAGTTGAGGGGTTGGAGGGAGGGTAGTAAGGATGTGTGGGTGGCGGGAAACTTAAATATGATTTGGCGTCTGGTAATTCGCGAATGTGTGAAGCCCGCAAAAGTTGAAAACGCGAATGTTGAGGGAGACCTGTGTATATATATGTATGTATGTATAATATATAAATACAGTGGACCCCCGGTTTACGATCAGCTCCCAATGCGACCAATTATGTAAGTGTATTTATGTAAGTGCGTTTGTATGTGTATGTTTGCGGGTCTGAAATGGTCTAATCTAATTCACAATATTCCTTATGGGAACAAATTCGGTCAGTACTGGCAATGAAATAATATCGTTAACCGGGGGTCCACTGTGTATGTATATATATACGTATATATAATATATATATATATATATATATATATATATATATATATATATATATATATATTATATTATATATATATATTATATATATATATATATATATATATATACATATATACATACATATCGAAAATTAAGGAATGAAGGGTATTGGATAGTATGCAATAAAATATTCTAAGACATATAAAGCTTTCCAACAATTTACAGACTTAGCTGTGGTCAGGCCACACCAGGAATGCTTTGTGACATGTTGCAGGAGTGCAGCAGTAATAGTAAAACTGCCCAGTAAAGTATTATGCAAATGACAGAACACTCAATTTGGCCCAACCAACAAATATTTAATCTGCACAAGGACTCGAGAAGAATTTCTACACAGATAGCAGGGCCTATTATAATAGGATTGAAGATATTATACATGTCAGGATAAAAGTAAGACCCTCCTGCTACAAGCAGGTTGGGAGCCAGAAGGGTAACATGCCTGCCATCACGACCCTCTGGATCCCGGGGCAGAACAATCATGTCCAGAGTAATTCCCACCATTAAAACCTAAGCTAGGTGGCACCAGCCTTGGTAGGCCTTGAGCTGGTGGTCCCTGTGGTCTAATATTAGGTGGATGTCCTACAGGACCTGGACCTTGAGGGTTAACATTCATGTTGTGAGGTTGAGGTGGAGCCACACGACTAGAGGAATACAGTGAAATAGCTGGAGGTATCATTCCTGCAGCTGGAGCACTATACCCTCCCCTAGAGTATGCTCGTGAAGGATATGCAGAATTTTGTTGAGATGCAAGTGATGATGAAATATGAGGTCCAAGCTGTACTGAAGAAGAGTGATGAGCAGAAGTCGACGTACCTCCCAAAGTCTGTACGCTAGGAATGGGAGACAGTTTTGACTGCATACCTTTGGGAATAGATGCTCCTTTGGGGGGTTTAACAGGACATGCCATAGGTACTGTAGGAGGAGGAATTATTGAAGTTAATGGAACTGGAACAGGAGTTGAAGTGATGGCTGCTGTTGGTAGTATGCCTTGGGAAATTTGTGAGGCTGGACCATTTTGAGATAAAGATGCACCAGATGTCATTAGAGGTATAGCTGATGGTGCAGGCCCATGGTATGGTCCAGGCACAGTCATACTAGTTCCACAAGACCCTTGGTGTAATGGTAGTGATACTAATCGTTGTGAATTGCTTGTAGGCATATTATGTAGTCCGGTGTTAATATTACTGGAGTTACAAGAATTCATGTTTTGTGATGCATTACAAACTGATTGTGTTGGTCCAGGTTTAGAACAACACACTACTTTCTGAACTGTCACTTCTCGTCCTTGGAAAATAGAGTTTTTTGGAGGTGCTGTTGGTGGCGGCGGAGGTGGTGGCAAGTTTTTGTCCTTGTGACGACGGTGACCTCTATCACGATCCTCTCCATCTGTTGAAGAGTAATACAATACACATTTGAATATTCTATCTTTAACCATTAAATATTTTATATTATAAAAGCCTAACAAAGCAATGTTTCTAAAATACACTCAAATCTAATCTGGAAAAATATGGCACTATAGTAATAAAATATCAGAGAAGATTAAAGTGAAATACAGTAGACCATTATATTACATGGATTTATTTGCCACATTTTGGTTATTACACTACTGAAAAATTGTAGCATAGCTTTATACAACACTTCGTAAAATTAACTTAGCACGGTTCTGTTTGCGAGTGGGGAAAAAATTTCCCCACTATCGCCATACAAATGTTGCTGAAAGTGGCAAGAGAGGATATAGGCATTTACGTTTTGGAATTATGAAGAAAAGAGAGACACAAAAGAGAGCCTGTGGCCTTAATGAAGCATCAGTTTGTACAATTAACCCTTTGACTGTTCCGGTCGTATATATGTCTTACAAGCCACTGTGTTTGACGTATATATACCCGTAAATTCTAGCGGCTTTAAATCAAGCAGGAGAAAGCTGGTAGGCCCACATATGAGAGAATGGGTCTGTGTGGTCAGTGTGCACCATATAAAAAAAATCCTGCAGCACGCAGTGTATGAGAAAAAAACTCCATTTTTTAACCCTTAAACGGTCCAAACGTATACATTCTCTTGCGTAGCACCCCAAACGCATATATATTTCATTTTTCATTCATTCAAAATTGGTGCGATAGGCCTGAGTCGCCTAGACTGTGTGGCGAAACGTTTCCTCAATAAAGATACCCAAGAGTTGCACATGTGTCTAATTTATCAACATGTCGGTTCTCTGAACTATTCATCAACAAAGCTGTCAGACACTGCATCTTCTTGGGATCTTAATACTTGGGAATTCTTCGCTTGCCTAATTCTTGGGCACGACCTACTTCAACATTGAATAAGTGTTACACTGCCTCTGACTGCTTCACCTCTCCTGCCAACGGTATATAAGCTCCTTCTCAGCACGTATGCCGTATTCTATTCAAGATTGATGGACTGACCACATCGACTCAAGGTTGAGGGACTGATTACCTCATTCTCCTCCTATTCTTCAAGATTCTCCTTTGTATGGACTGATGAAGCCACTGTGTGGCAAAACGTTTCCTCAATAAAGATACCCAAGAGTTGCAAATGTGTCTAATTTATCAACATGTCGGTTCTCTGAACCATTCATCTACAAACACTATCGCCATACAAATGTTGCTGAAAGTGGCAAGAGAGGATATAGGCATTTACGTTTTGGAATTATGAAGAAAAGAGAGACACAAAAGAGAGCCTGTGGCCTTAATGAAGCATCAGTTTGTACAATTAACCCTTTGACTGTTCCGGTCGTATATATGTCTTACGAGCCACTGTGTTTGACGTATATATACCCGTAAATTCTAGCGGCTTTAAATCAAGCAGGAGAAAGCTGGTAGGCCCACATATGAGAGAATGGGACTGATGAAGCCACTGTGTGGCAAAACGTTTCCTCAATAAAGATACCCAAGAGTTGCACATGTGTCTAATTTATCAACATGTCGGTTCTCTGAACCATTCATCTACAAACACTATCGCCATACAAATGTTGCTGAAAGTGGCAAGAGAGGATATAGGCATTTACGTTTTGGAATTATGAAGAAAAGAGAGACACAAAAGAGAGCCTGTGGCCTTAATGAAGCATCAGTTTGTACAATTAACCCTTTGACTGTTCCGGTCGTATATATGTCTTACGAGCCACTGTGTTTGACGTATATATACCCGTAAATTCTAGCGGCTTTAAATCAAGCAGGAGAAAGCTGGTAGGCCCACATATGAGAGAATGGGACTGATGAAGCCACTGTGTGGCAAAACGTTTCCTCAATAAAGATACCCAAGAGTTGCACATGTGTCTAATTTATCAACATGTCGGTTCTCTGAACCATTCATCTACAAACACTATCGCCATACAAATGTTGCTGAAAGTGGCAAGAGAGGATATAGGCATTTACGTTTTGGAATTATGAAGAAAAGAGAGACACAAAAGAGGCCTGTGGCCTTAATGAAGCATCAGTTTGTACAATTAACCCTTTGACTGTTCCGGTCGTATATATGTCTTACGAGCCACTGTGTTTGACGTATATATACCCGTAAATTCTAGCGGCTTTAAATCAAGCAGGAGAAAGCTGGTAGGCCCACATATGAGAGAATGGGTCTGTGTGGTCAGTGTGCACCATATAAAAAAAATCCTGCAGCACGCAGTGTATGAGAAAAAACCTCCATTTTTTAACCCTTAAACGGTCCAAACGTATACATTCTCTTGCGTAGCACCCCAAACGCATATATATTTCATTTTTCATTCATTCAAAATTGGTGCGATAGGCCTGAGTCGCCTAGACATGAGAGAATGGGTGTGCGCACTCAGTGTGTGCGGTATGAAAAAAATTGGGGATGCCTGGGTACCACATGGTAGGTTCAGTTACATTCAGCTCCATCTTGGGTCAGCATTATGGCACAGTCTCATGATTCACTCATGCCTCATTGTATTAACACTACTATTCAAGGAAAGTGTTATAGATCATGAGTTTAGTGGACCCGACACCAATGGGGCCAGTAATATTCAAGGAATTAGTGAAAATGTCGACGATAACCCAGATGATCCTCAGCCCATCACCTCTGGGGTAGCGACACCTGTCCTAGGGCCAAGCACCTCTGGGGTAGCCAGTGTGGCCACAGCAGACCCTAGGCCAAGCACTTCTGGGGTGGCCAGTGTGGCCACACAAGACCCTGGGCCAAGCACCTCTGGAGTGGCGAGTGTTACCCATAAGCAACTTCGCAAAAGGAAACTCATTTTCCCGGTGTTTTAGTGATAGTGAAAGTGAAGTAAGTGACAATGAGATTGATTTTATGCCATTCGAGGATTCGTCTAGTGATAGTGAAGTTCATTATTCACCAGTGAAGCGTACTTTTAGGTGTCGTTATCTACATTCAGGCAGTGTGCCATATGCAGTCCCCAAGGGTTGTGGCAGGTCACGATCCAAAACCCCGGCCAATGATAGTGAAAGTGATCATGAAGGCGAGTATGTGGGGATGGAGGAAGTAGTGATGGGTGGCACGGTGCCTGGACCACATGGTGCAGTGGGTGGACAGACAAAGGACTGCCCGGCATCCCCTCAACCATGTGCTGCCTCCTCTCCTGTCCCTCCTCCTGCTCCCCCTCCCCCCAGGCCACAGGTCCACCCTGCACCATGTGATCGCAAGTGGAACTGGTCACAAAGTATATTTGTGCCATAGCCCTGTGATTTTGATGCGAGTGGAAGTGGTATCCACCAGAATGTCCCATAATGAATGAGTCTACAGAGTTAGACTATTTCCAGTTGTACTTTGACGAGCCTATAGTGAACTTGATCTTGACACAGACAAACAATTTTTACCAATATGTCATGGACAATATAACAGAGGTTGAAGAATCGTCACGGCTGCACAGGTGGAAGGACACAACAATGGCTGAAATGTATTTATTCTTTGCCATTGTCATGCTTATGCCACATAGCTATAAAAACAATATACGTAACTACTGGACCACAGACCACTTCATCAATACTCCAGTTTTCCGTGACCTCCTTCCCTGCAACAGATTCACTCTGTTGCTACGAATGTTGCACTTCTCAGACAGAAATACGCCAAACAGAAATGACCTTCTATACAAAATCTGGGAAGTGCTTATGTATTTGAAGCAGAAATTCAGTGCATACTTTTTGTCCCTTCAAGAACATTGTTGTTGATGAGCCCTTGATTCTGTTCAAGGGACACCTGTTATTCAAGCAATATATACTGAGCAAACATAACCACTTTGGTATAAAACTTTTTATGTGTGACTGTGAGAGTGGTCTTGTGTTGGATATTATTGTATACACTGAGAGAAATACACTCGATGATGACAGACGGATGTTGGGCATTTCCGATGATGTTGTTCGCAGGATGATGGAGCCATACCTTGGCAAGGGCCATGCATTGTACACAGACAACTGGTATACAAGCCCTATGCTCGTTGATTTCCTACGTGTGAACAATACTGATATATGTGGAACAGTGAGAAGGAATAGAAAACATATGCCAAGGTTCAGTGGAGGCAGTGTTGAAGGTACAGTGCAAGTGTTTCATGCTAATGACATCATGGCACTGATGTGGCATGACAAACGGGATGTGACATTGCTGTCAACCATCCACAGAAACGAGATGGTACAGACAGACAGACTGAGCAAATTCAACAAAAAACCTACTGTAAAGCCAGCTGCTGTCATGGAATATATGAACAATATGTGACTAGTTGACAAGTGTGGCATGATGATAGGGTTTGTTGACTGTGTGCGTAGGAGTCGCAAGGGGTATATAAAACTGTTTTTTTCACCTTGTAGACATTGCAGTGCTCAATGCATTCAATATGTACGAAATAAAGACTGGAAAACGACATCGTTTTGCAGGATTCTCTCTGAATGTTGTCAGACAGATAGCAATAAAGTATGGTACCATACCTGTACCTGCCCCTCAACAGCGACCTGTCACACTGCAACCTGTCCCCCAACCACAGCCAGTGAGGGAAGTGCCGACCTAATCACTCCTAACTGTCACTATCTGGTACCAATACCACCTACCCAAAAGAAGAAGAATGCCCAGAAAAAGCGTGTTGTGTGTGCTACCACCAAAAAACGACCCCAACAGTGGAAGGACACATGATTCATTTGTCACTAGTGTGGGGTGGCACTCTGTATGAATCCATGCTTCATGGAGATTCATACAATCGTGGAGTTCTAGAAACATAAGTGGGACATGTAAATACAGTGGAACCTCTACTTGCGAGTGCATCCACGTGTGAGTTTTTCCAAATACAAGCAGTCGATGGGTTGATTTTTTGCTTCCATACACGAGCAAAATTTCCATATGCGAGCAGACCTCAAGGGAGGTTCCTTGACGCTGGTGAGGGGCTCTTGCTCTTGATCTAGGGAATT